AAATCGATTCCCGCCGGAGGATTCAACGGCTGTGGCAGTGAGGAGACCGGGGTGTTCACGAACCTCAGACCACTGGTTTAGAGGACCACTCCATGTAGCGGTACTGGCTGAGGACTGAATCTCAGTCTCCGTGGAGTCGTTGGTCTCAAGAAGCCTGCGCGGTCGATAAAAAAGAACATCAAATAAATGCGAATTCAAAATGCTTACGGAAAAGTGATACAAACTTCAACGTAAACTGGCGATCCGTGGGGCTGAGGTGGCAACATGTCCATCTTCGTTCCCCTTCACCACCACTACTACTTAAATTACCAAAGGAATATCATAGAACAACGATCGAAGCTCCAGAAACGAGGTCACATACGTGTTTCCACCTTTGGAGGAGCTGCCGTCAGTCAGGAGGAATGAATGATTAACTTTGACGTTATCCGACCCGAAGTCGATAGAGCTGGCAACAGTGTGGCCTGAATGGTATGAGTGCAACAGAAGGTTCAGGGTGTTGGAGTAGAAGACGCTGACGCCTCCACCGCCCAGAGTGCCAGTTCGGGGGTTTCGCTGGAGTGTCCCAGACGAACCCGTGGAAGACAGGCTCTCCGGGTCCCAGTCTAAGCAGTCAGCCAGGTAAAACTGCCCACAGGAGATACGCGTCTCCGGCAACAAACGCTAAAAGGTAGGGTAGGTGGAAATTGTGAAAAATGTGGTAGTTTTGACGGCCTGTCAATCTTCGCAATAGCACGGTTGACGTTTCCATGGGCGATGACAATGTAAAATACACTGGAAACTGATACAACCACTGCTTAGCCCACAACTAATCATCCACATTATTTCCCATCTGGTCCCCGTACTTGGGATACAGCAACAGAAAACACTGCTTTCTTTAAAAAACTGGCCGATTCACTCGTAATTCGGTTCGGAGACAAGGAAAGAACACCCAAGTTAAGTCAGCCCTCAAAATGAACACATAAAATTGGTATTTGAAGAAGTAAAGACACTAGCAAAAAGCACCTGTGGCATGATTGAGCCAAAGGTTGCCATGACGAATAGGTAGACGTCGGAGAAGTCATCGTTGTCCTCGGAGAGCTCGTGGGTCTCGCTAGCCTTGGATGAGTCAAGTTTTTTCTTTGGCGCGTAGACAAACGTGGCATCGCAGAACTTGCCTTCCACAGGTTTGAAGTAAAACAGCAGTCTCGGTGAGCTGGCGAAGATGTCGAAGATCTATTTGCGGAATAAAAAGAGAGGTCTGGTTAACTTTCGATAGCAAAGTAATGCGGATTTGCGACACTCAAGTGTGCTAATCAAAAATCCTGACAAAGAATCCCAAGGAAAACGAGCATCAGCTGTTGTTTAGATCCAGCGTCAACTTGTTAAACGCGTTTTTTCAACGGCAACGGTGGTGACACCTTTTACCGACATTCACGAACCAACGACGTCGCATCCATCGGCGTTTCGAGACTTGTGCGGCGAGTAGCCACACGGAGATGGGACCGGAAAGTATCGGAACAAGAAAAGAGGCTTATTTCAGCTGATTTGGCAAAGTACAATCCGACCAGAGAGGTTTGGTGGCATTAGGCATTACTGAGCTCGATTCGACTGCCTATGGACACACAAGCCCAGCGCGACACGAAATCGGCTTTCTGCTGATTCTTAGCCACTCGCTTGTTACAATAAGCCCGTTTTGGACGCGGATGCTTTTTTTTTTAAAGATTGCCTTGATTCTGCAACCCGAGGGTTGGATTGACGCGCTCACAGCCACGACTAAGCACCCTTGAATCTGCGTGAACTCTTGTAAGGCTTTTTTCAAAAAGGGACGAGAATGCCCCGATTTCATACCGTTCTCATGGCTTCCAGCGTTTCACAGAGCAAATAAAAACATTGTTTGCGACGCAGGTTGAAGGATCAAGTGATGATAGATCTAGACATACACACACACACACATTCATATTTGAGCGTCTTCCACGAGTTCTAGTGCTTTACTGGTAAGGAGAAGGTATCACTGGTACAAATCCGATTCAGCACCCAGCGTAGCAGTTCGGGATTTGTGATGACCCACTACTTGGCACTCCAGCGTGCCACCAAGGCAAGCATAGCAGGCAATATCGTAATTTCAGACGGCAATCTACGATCGCGTGGGTCGGTGGTTGAATTTTACCGAAATAGGATCGATCTTCGTTGCTAATACATCAATGTTACCACAGCATCGCTCAATTTTGACCAGGGAAATTCGCCCATAGTCTAATTTTTGCTTCACACACAAGTTAAACCAATCGAAGGTGCACACACCGGTTAGTGATCAAGTGACAATACAAATGTATTCCACGATGCAGACCTGGGAAAGGTTGCGCTTACCTGCACAGACTTGGTGGTCAGGAGACACAGGAAACGGCATGAATTGGGCAACCACACAGGCTTGATTAGGACTTCCTCCTTCTCTTCCAATAACGGAGCAATGGTGACTCGACCACAAGCCTGACCCAGTGAGGATAGCCCGACAACGCTGCACTCCTACAGGGAAATGGGTGAAACATTAACACGCCTTAGTTCGATAGGGATGATCATCTCTCCCCAAATGCGACTTACGGCGGAATTGGAGGCAGCAAATATGGCCTCGTTTCCCGGATGCACGCTCAATTTCGAGGGTTCGAATCCGCAGTTCAGTTTACTCACACGACAGAGGGAGGCCAGGGGAACCACGAAGGGCTGGAGTGAGGCCGAGAGGGGCGCGGCTTCCGTGGAGTCGACTCCTCCTGAAATGGCAAGGGGCCATGAAACAAAGGTTTATTAGAGAAAAAAATATCAAAACGAAACACACCATCATAGGCCTTGAGTTTTACTTCCTCCACCTCATCTTGGCATTCTGCTGCCGTGGCAAAGAGGTCGTCCAAAGCATAGACGCTCACAGCGCCGTCACGTTGTTTGGATGCCTGTGAAGACGCTAGCGGGCCGGAAGAACCTCCTCCAATCAGAAGATAGTGCCTCCATCCCCCCACCGAGGGAATCCGGGCAAGGGCGGCAACCATGGCCCCTGAGGGCCCGCCAGCATGGTGGATGACACTCCTGATCAACGACGTTGCCTCCAGAAATTGGCTGAGCATAGTGGAATTGAGAAGGGTTTGGCGAGGAGAAAGTACGCTGGAAATCTGTTCCTGCAGAAGATTGGGGTATTTGACACCGGCTGGGTGGCGAGTGCGTGGACGATTGAGACCACCAACGCTCTCGGAAGAAGACAGCATAGATGACGCCTGCGCTTGGGTGGTGGTTACTGACGACGTCACCGAGGAAGGTGGTGCAAGAAGCTCACAGGCTGATGGAGACGAAGACGTGGCAGATTCCGTGTTCAATATAAGTACTGGACTCTGAAAGGAGGGGAAGCATAGAATTAGGCAGACATTTGATAGGCAGGAGTGCCACTGGCATAGTGAACCATCATATCTACCATACAGCATGATTGCTACAGAGGCAGGGTGAACGGTTTGTCAAAGTTAGTGAATACACAATGAAAAAAAGACCAAATGATCAAGAGAAGCAGAATATGTGAAAAGCCAGGGTGACTGGAAGCTAACACGAGGTGTGCAACGCGAACAACCTGATCGGCTCAAAGTGGGCACGCTACCATTAACCACCACTTTCGACACTTACGCAAACAACAGGTTTCCATTCGTTCCAAAGAAGTAGTCAGTTTGAAAGGTAGAGTGGAGAATAAGAACATGAATATTAGCACATAAATGGTGTTGGCACAAACTACTACCCAACGACGACCATGGAAGCATTGTGCATACCATAATCTCCGAGGTGAGACGAATCAACGGCGAAGATGATCGATCAGTGGAGAGCAGCCATTGGTGGGCGGCAGAAAGCAGTGACTCAGAACGCACCAATCCGCTGAAAACATCCTCAAATGGGTCTGGAATCCGAAAAGCGAGGTTTTAGTGCATTGAATATCAGAAATACCTTGATGCAATCTAAGCAGCGGAAAGTCAATTGTGACGTAGGCTACAGGGTCCAACTCCACTATACTATGCGCCATAAAAAGGAGCTTGAATTAAGGAGAAGCGGATTCTAGCCCAAGAACGAGCCCATGACCACCAAACTAGTTGGGCTTACTACAGGGAAGGCATTTTAAGCCCCAACGCCTGGACCGTTTCGCCTGCACAGCTACAAGTGCATCACTATGCAGTGCTACATAGTATACAAAAAGAATGTACATAAGAACCTGTAAAAATGTAGTTTTTTAGTGTTCCTAATTAACCGTGACAACAACATGATGCTGCTCAAGTGAAACATACTGCCAGAGAGTGTTACCTAATTTGAGCACAGACAAGGTACCAAGTTCGCGTGTGAGGAGACGACATGAAGCGGCGGTGAGAGCAGGTGATTGGACAATTTGCACCAGCTGGTCTTGTAGGGATTGGTTAAGCGAGGACAACTGGAACGGACAAAACACAGAGGCTTAAAACTGACATTCCAGATAATTTGCACAGGAAAGTAGCAGAAAACCTGCGTGGAAGACAAATTGCAAGACAAATTTGCAGTTTTTGTTTACAACAGAAAATCCTCTTCTAGGCAAGGAAAATTGGGACGCTTTATTCGGCGAACAAATGAGAGGGCCAACTCACTAGCCCACCAGCCCGCTAAATTCGTCAGTCCTTCGACAGACAAGCAGATCCCAAATGGGAACGCGAAAGATTATCGAAGCGATTGTTTTCACTTACATCGGTTCGCTTTCCCTAGAAGTCAACCCATCTAACATGGCAGAAAACCAGAGGGGGCAACATTAAGTCAATATGACAGAAGGTTTGATTCAGTGGACGTGAAGCTGAGGTCGGGAACAGAGATGGCCATATTCTTAAGCACAGATTTAGTGGGACGAAATAGCAAACGGGGGGAGGGGCCAAACACAACGTCTCACCTGTATCCGAACGCGATTGATTAAAGCTACAGTGTGAGGATGCGGTCGTTGGCCGAACTTTTTCCGAAAGGCCTCCACAGCGGTTTTACGCGGAGCATCATCGTCGGCCTTCCAGAGATTGCCTTTCGACTGGCCTAAGGCACCACAGCAACCATACATTACAGAAAGGGTGGGAAGAGGTTGAACGGGAGGCAGCGGTGTTTCGCCAACTCCATCTGGTGCCCGAGAAACGGTCTTTGCGAGTGACGAGGTTAGCGCACCGGAACGTCTTCGCATGGCTCCCATTCGACGAATTCGGCTTGCGAAGACACCCTCATTGACGCCGACACCGCTGGAACCCGATTCGGTGGTAGCCGGGGGAGGGTGGGAGGCAGGTGACGCATCGGCAAGTCGAGGAGGCACGGGAGGCGTAACAGGACGCATCGATTCAGCCACAGCGACGCCAGTGTTGTTGCCGTTGGCGAGGATGCAGGAGGCCTTAGACACAGGTGCACGTGTCGCAGCCCTGAAAATCAGGTCGCACGCATTGGCGGAGGCAGATTTTTGAAGACAAGCGGCTAGAAATGGAGAGATGGGTTGGATTTCGCAGAATGAATCGCGGAAAATGTGTAATTTAAATGCATATAAAAGGGAATCTAGGGGAGGCGCTCACAATTTGTCCACGGCAGCAAATTGGTGAATAATCCATCCTGTCCAACACCATGGCGTCCGAGTCTTCTCGTCACAGAACAGCACTTCCCCAGCACACCAAATTCAGCAGCACAGTCGCAAAAGAAGTCACCCGTGGTGTTGAACACGAGGTCGTGACCGGCATGGCAGAGTTGCGCACACAGGTGGCAGACGCCGCGGCCGGAAGTCATGCCACAAGTGTAGCAGCCGTACCACGGTTGTTCGATGAACTGGTACTGCGTGGACGCAAAGGTGCAGACTTCTTCACAGACACGTTCAAGAGGGGAGCAATGGGAGAAAGGGGCGGTGGAGAGGAGGGGATCCGGTTCGTCGTGGGTACCGGCAGGTCCGCAGAGGGCCTGCAGCATGAATCTATCCAAAGCGGAGTTCCAACCATCGCCAGGACGCATGTGGTCACACTTCTACAATTAAACCAAAGTCATCAGTGTTCGCTCTAATTTAGTAATGTGGTAGCAATGAATTTAAACTCACTGATTCCCCGACACCATCATCATCGTCACCAAGACTATAGAAGAAGTTGAAGAACTTGGACAACTCCGGGTCCTTGAGATTATTCGAGATGGACCGACAAGAGTTTTGCCAGTAGCTAATATCTGGTAGACAAAGACTTCCGCTGGTATCGGTTTCGTTTGGCTTAGAAGGCGACGCTAGTGCGCGAAGCAGAAGGCCAAAGTAATCGTAGATGGCGCACAGGGTGAGAGTGAGGTCGTTCTGAAATGACGCGCAAACACACGGCATTATCTAACATACTATTAATAAAAATCCTTTTTTTTAACTAAAGCGCATGCCCAACATGGCACGACGCGGCTAATTATGCGTGTGGTTGTGTGTGTCTGTGGTAATAATCTCACCTTGCGTTCTCCAGCCTCCACGGACATTCGGACCTCAGCCTGTTCAGCCCACTTGGCAAAGTGTTTGGCGAGTCTCATGTGGGCCTCACCCGAGTCGTTCCAACTAGCCAGAGCGAGGCAACGCACACCCGAGACAATGAAGTAGCCCCTCACGGGACATGACGAGCAGGATTCGACCTGCTCCAGTGCCATTCCGAGGCAACGCCGACACAGGTCGTGGGCGTCGGTCCACGGTGTTGCGATCAGACGCAGGAGGCGTTCCACAAGGATGCAGTCACGACGGTCAGACAGCTCATTGGTGGTGAGATGAGAAAGAGCTGAAGAGAGCAGCTGGTTGTCGAGAGCGTAAGTAAGAGCTTGAGTGGCCGCCCTTGCAAATAAGTCGCGGTTCGACGATGGATTAATCGCTGCAAAAATACGACGAAAACGGGTTCACGTTGGACCTTGCGTAAAAAACCGTGTAAACAGATAATGAAGCAGATGAAAAAAAACGGTTACCTCTCATGAGAATGAAGTTTAGGAGACGAATCTGCTTCGCTGAGGCTGGTGGGACGAAAAGGCGAGCAAGTAGGTGGGGTTCGTCATCGACACACCGGGTTAGCACACGCGGTACACCAGTTGCCATCTCCAGATAGTTAAACACCTCCACTCGAAGGCACTCCGAGCTCTCGCCTTCCAGGCCTTCAATAAGGGCACTTAGAATGCAATCCTCAGTCGCCTTGGTGATGACAGCACTGGCTGATTTCTTGCGCTCGCGCACAACAGCAGTGGCTGAAACGAAACAGTCCAGCGACTTTGTCAACTGGATGTCAAGCGCCGAGAGTGCTGGATCGAGCTGAAGACGACAGAGCTCCGCAACGGTGTCCTCCGTGGATGTCGGTGATGGCACCTGAATACCGAGGCGCCGGCGGCTGGCAAGAGTTTCGGCAAGCATGGCGAATTCTCTGAGGAGGTGACCAATCAAGATCGACTGCGGTGTCGACGTGCATTCAACCGGCGTGCGGGAAAGGCGGTTGAACACGACCTGGGAAAGCGGTTCTGTGTCTGTGACCTAGAAAACCAACAAAGAACAACATGACTCGCTAAAAAGACCCAATTAGATCCTAGAAACTCTCTCATCCTTAGCCTAAGTGACGCAATGGATTAATTCCAATTTTCTGACGGTCATCAAGGACGGTCAATGATCTGACAAAAGCGCTCATCGCACATTCGACTGATTTTTCCCAAGAGTTGATACAAACATCATTTCTTAGAGTAAAATCGCATGCCTCCAGTGTCAGCTTCGTGTAACCCAAGTATTGACGAAAGGAGCAAATAAGTGCAGAAACTCACCTTCCAATCACTTGCTGAAAAAGTACGAACCTCTGACGCCCAGGCGTTGAGCATCAAGCCTGAAGCTGACTGATTGGCATCGTCGTTAGCGGTAGTGCAGGCGCGCAACGCATCTACCAGCCTCTTGGTTGCATTTTTCGAAATAAGAAGGGAAAAGGGCTTCTCACTGGCCGCCAGACGATCTGGGCAGAGCTGTCCAACCACTGATTTTGTGGAGGTGAGGCCGATCTCTGCTTTTAATTGTCCAAGAAGTGGCGTGATGATGTGAATAGAGAGGTTGAGAAGGAGATCAAGCAGGTCAGCGATCTGCGATATGCTTACAGATGGCTGAAAAATAAGCACGTACGGAACTAAGGGAAACAAGTACAGAGCTTCCATCTCCATAACCAAATCACACCAAATCACATCACATCATTGCTACCAAAGCATATAGCATTGAAGTCGGTAGTATTCTCAGTTAGTGAGCAGAACCAATTCAATCAAGGGCCTGCACATCTAGAAAGCATTCAACGTGGAAACCTAATCGACTCAGAAGCCTGACAAGACTTGTGATCATTGAACGGGATGACTAAAGTCTAGGGCAAAAATGTTATGAAATACGCACTCCTTCACAGACCACGGTTTAAAGAGGGCAGAAGAAAAATTGGTGACTTACAAGGGAAATTCGTCGCGGCTCTGCAGAGGCTTCAGTTGCTGGCCCAAAGCAAGTCGAACTCTGCGTCCCGATGGAAGCCGGTTTGGTGGAGTCCGTGCTTGCTTTTGTTGACGTTGCTGTTGACGTTCTCAACACTGGTGGTGGAACAGGAGGAAGTGAGTCGAAATCTGCCGACGCAACAGCGGTAGGCAGCTTCCCACTGGGACGTAGTCGACCAACCAGTGTTCGCAAAGCGTGAACCACAGAGCGCCAAAAGATCAAGCTACACACCGTCAGGCCATTTTCCACTTGGCTCTAAAACAAAATGCATGCATCATGCGTGAGTACACGATGGCAATTGTGAGTGGACAGGACACCTTGAACTTGACATCGGCCTCACCTGAAGTGACTCGAGTTGGACAACGGCCTCGTCGAGGATGAGCAGCGGGTGAAAGATTGTGCTGCGGAGGTGGGTGAAAAAGGCTTCGAATTCATCAACGCTTGTGAAGACCGAGGAGACAGGTAATCGGGACGAAGAAGAGGTGCGGGCACACTGCGCCTTGAAGGTCTGGTTCTGAGGAAGGTGAGAAGGCAAACACACACACGTATAGAGGGTTGAATAGTAAGAAGGTTCAATTCGAGGTGAATACCAAACTTTACAGGCCTATGAAGCACTCATTTGAATGTTATTTTTATGACGAATGACGAGAACTACAATCAGGCTTTGATGAGGCGACAGAAAAATAATAACTGTAAGAACAAATAGCTATCGTACGGGAATAAGTGGAGCGGATTTGTACTTTAAACCCAGCTACTGCTAATTTTAGCAGTGAAAGACGATGCCAGGTAGTGATAAAGTGCCAGGTGGAATAGGCATTAGACGACACTCACGGCAAGAGTTTCGGCACATCGACTGCTACGCTTCTTTTCTTTAAGCACACTGCCTGATGTCGACAGGGTGCTCTGTGTAGAGTTGTACGAGGTGGGCGACTTCCTCAGCCTATCCAACAAAACCAGAAGGTACATAAGCCGATATGGACCTCCTGGTCGCTCGACTTTGTTGCCCTTTAGCCGTGCGTAAATCTCCTCGACAAAACCTGCTGATGGCGGAAGCAGCTCCAGCAGTCGCCAATTCAACTGTGTGCCATAGGAGGCGAACAGAGTAGACGCCTCCGAGGACAACCACCACGCATCGAACAGGCGCAGCAACTCGGTGAACACTCGGTCGTAGTCGGGACGCGACACCAGCGTCATGATCGCCAGTCCATCTTCCGGCGGGTGAACAGTTGTGGACTTGGCGCCGTCGAAAAGGAGATCATAGAAGAACCCCGCTGAAGGACCGCGACCAATGAGGTTTTCAAACACCCACACTTTGGTTGCGCCACCGACTATGGCGGGTCTGACCTGGGAGTTAAGGTGACGTGGTGGGTCGAAGAAGTAGTGGAGTTGGTAGCGCAGCAAGACGAGAAGTCGCAGCGAGCGAAGTCCGCGTCCGCCCTCAAGGAGAGCGTTTATAATGGCCTGGAGGAAGGCCTTTTTGGACGCGAGACCCGAAAACGCCGCCGAGATGAGAGAGATTAGTTGGGCTAGGTGTGGCGAGAGGTCAGCAAAGTGATGGCCCACCACGGCGGTGCAGTAGTTCTCGATAATTGTGGGGTTAGCGCGAGCAACCGCGAGAAGATGTGCCGCCAGCAGACGAAAGGCCAGTGGATCGGGTTCAGCGGTGAACTGGGCGTCAGGAGGGAGCAGGCGAAGCTGTGTGAGCACCGAAGCCGCTAACGACGAGGTGGTGGAGACGAAAAAGAGCGCGGTAAAGGCTCGACTTAGTGGTTCGGGGCGAAGCGAGATGAAGTGGGCTAATCGTTCCACGAAGAGCTGCGTGTAAGCAACGTCGCCAGATTGGTTGCAGTTTTGGCGAAGTTGTAGGAGGTTGCAGAGTGTTAGAAGACACCGTTCAGCACAGGCAACCAAAGGCTGGCATTCAGACGTGTCTAAAAACGCGAAAAAAAACACTCCACACTTTCACATCCAGTTTGTAGGAATTATCGACGGTGTCTGTTATCGAAGGCATCAGGGCTCTTTTGGCAGAGAAGTCCTCATCCAAGTCACGGACGACTTCATTATTTGGACTTAGTGCCCACGCTAATTTCAGGATTTTGATGAAAGGGTACTTTATCACATCACAAACATGCAGCTTTAATACTAACTTTAAAATGTTTATTTACGGTCAAATGTGGTTGCGCGTTAGTTTTAAGACTAGCTATTTATAGGGGATAAAAAAAGTCAACAGTTTACGAATTTAGCACATTGAGAATTCGGCAGAAAATGCATATGCATTGAAGAAAGATGACGTGTAGAGTTACCTGTGCTGGCTTCAGTTTTCGTTGTTGTCTAAATGAAAATTAAAAGAGAGGATTTAGGTTGCAGTCAGCGAGAGTTAAAAAAAAACACAGCGTTCGAGTAGAAACCGTGGGCGAGCTACTAAACCACGTCAGCCGCAGAGTGGATGGGTTTTTTGTGTGACTATGGTAACGTTTTCGACTCTTCGGGTGATCACTGAGACGAGCGGCGCTCTGCAACTCGATTGCGAGGCCCGAAGACAGAAACATCCGACTAGAAGAACCGCAGTGGATACTGTGTCGCCCTTTAATCGAAACGCCACTCATTTACTAAACGTGAACCGATTTTGGCGTGCTGATGGCTGCATGCTGCACTTGGGGACGCGACAAAGCTACTGGGAGCAGAGCTTTGGATCAGGTGTCTGTCGAAATACAAACTACCCAAAGTGTTAAAGGTAACTCAATAGGAATTAATAGGTAAATATGATGGATAAGAGGAACGCTCTCTGTAGAAGGGCTTACCGAAGCAACATAGAATGCGTAGGCAACATCAAGTAGGAATATGTCCAGGGGGCCTGACAT